AATCAAACATTCAGATGATTAGATTATTATATTTAAAAAATCTCAATCTAACACTTTAGAGACTCGAATGAAAACAAGACTGAAAATCAAATCCAAGAACGTTAAGCCTTTTATACGTTTGGCGATGTTTTTCGGGGTTTATGTATCGCGACATTATCGACAACTTTTTTTTCGAGTTTAGTACATAAGGAGTCAGACAGGCACTCTGAAATCTCGTTAAATAAATCAAAGAAAAAAAAAAGTCAAACAGAGACACAACGAAGAGAGGGGCAAATGCATTGGCTATTATTGTTTACGTATAAGTTAATAAATATTTAATTTAGATATATCACAAAACCTTGGTAAAGCTGCAGCATCTGCGCTTTTGCTTCCTTTTTGCTTTGGATTTTAATAATTTTCCTTTATCATTAGTTATCTTGCATCGCCATGATAATATTTTCGAGAGCGGTTCGAGCGTCGCTAGGAGGGAATTTATAAAGTTCAGTCATGGCTAGAAGTGTATGTTTACTCTGCAACTCTCGTGTTTTCTCAATACCTGGTCCTTCAAGGATTTCTTGGTGTATGAATTGATAGTTAATGTTGTCGACCGACTCTGAACCTTTTCGAATTTCATTGTATAGCAATGGATCATATTCGAGATGAAATAAAACTGGCGCACTTATTAAGCTTATTTTTATGTCTTTAGGAATCTCTTGAAGACGGAAAGGTTCAAGGTCCATGCGAGCTTGCCACGCAAGTGAAAGGTGCTTTCCGAAGAAATAAGCTTGCTTTTGAAATTCTTCAGGCTGTTTTGCTAATAATAAAGCACTTTGACAACTTTTGCCTAAAAGCGTTCCTTCAGCTAATGTGTGACGCAATGTCCATTCATTTTCGGGGCTTCCCATTACATCTTTTATACTGAATGGCCTTCGGTTATCTATTTGATCTGAACAAATTTCATAAACATTCTTTTCATTCTGATCTTTAATTTTCTTCAAAGGATTAGAAGGAAGCGGATTATTCTGGATATCACGGTCGCCGATGAAATGAGAGTCAGCCATATCGCGGAAAGCTGTACAGATCAATTCATTCAGTTCCTGATTCCTAAAAAAGAAGAAGAATTTCAGAGTATCAAAATATTGTTCTACTGAAGCAGTTTTGCATAAATAAAATCAAGTTTAATTAAGAAGCTTCAGTCATTCCTTTGTGAAGAACAGCAGAATTAGTTTCTGATTTAAACTCGTTTTTAT